CGTTTGTGTGCGTGCGTGTGTGTGTGCGTGCGTTTGTGTGTGTGCGTGTGTGTGTGTGTGCGTGCATGCGTGCGTGTGTGTGTGTGTGCGTGCGTGTGTGTGCGTGTGTGTGTGTGTGTGTGTGCGTGCGTTTGTGTGCGTGCGTGTGTGTGTGTGTGCGTGCGTTTGTGTGCGTGCGTGTGTGTGTGTGCGTGCATGCGTGCGTGTGTGTGTGTGTGCGTGCATGCGTGCGTGCGTGTGTGTGCGTGCGTTTGTGTGTGTGTGTGTGTGTGTGCGTGCGTGCGTGTGTGTGCGTGCACGTGTGTGTGTGTGCACGTGTGTGTGTGTCTGGCCATGGCCATGCACAGACATATTTGGGTTCGGGGATAGGGTGAATGTGTGAGACGTGTGTAATTAGGGATTATTACGATAATCGTGACCATGACATGTTTTGTATGTTTCAATGTGTGACGTTTCTGAGTTCATAAAGTTTCACGAGCAGCACAACTCAAAATACCTCATTATCAATCTCTACTCCCTCCAAGTAGAACTCACTTAGTAATTACAGATAATTGTACGGTAATATCACAAATGATCCTTGCATTCTGTATTTAGTTTGTCCATTTGAAAGGGCCTCAGCACTTTGACTATTTTTAATCAATCAAGAACTTGGCTTCCTAACAGCCGCTGCTCTATTATGTGCAGCCATCTCATTTATCTGAGTAGAATTCATTTCTAGAAGCAATTAAGTATTGATTCATTTTCACATTCTTTCACCATACATTATAATACAGCAAAATGACAGGAGGACAAGTGTGTGTTTCAGGAGGTGGAAGTAACTACATGTCACAGGTTCAATGGGTGCAACAGGGTGCTCAGGTCCAACCAATCCTGCTCGACTGTTGACAAGAATATGGCAGTTTGAGCGCTGTGAAGTTCAGAAAGAAAGGTGTGAAATATGTGTAATCTGCATTTGTAATAACATAGGCTAATGTATTCCAATGTGGGTTTTTTTTTACTGCAAATGGCAAATAAATAAACTGAACTGAACTGAACTTTTACATGAAAAATGTCGGTCCTCTTCATGAGCAGTTGGGCTGAGGACCAGGACGTACGGTGTATGTTGTGCTTATGCGTTCTGATGGTACTGACATGTTCACAGAGACTACCTCAAAACTGTATCTGGTCATAAATCGTTCAAAAACAAAACGGTGGAATATTCATGTGGATTTCAACACGTAAAAGCTAAGGCTTCATGTTTACAGTGTACAATGAACACTGTCCCAGTGTGGTCCACAGCCTCTTCTCTGGCACCGCCCCAACGATGGATGGATGTGCAATGAACAATCGCCAAAAAGAGAGATTCAGTGTAAAGGAGCACCAGAAGTCCCATAGTAGGAAGTTGTTTTAAGACAGTAGCAAAAGTTGATGGATACATGACCAAACATTACACACATCATCAGACAGAGGTTATTTTAAAACTACCCAGTTTTGGTTTAGTTTATTTCAATACAATTACAATACAATACAATTTAATCTTGTATAGCCCTAAATCACTACAGCATCATCTCAGAGACTTAACAAAACCATTGAAATCACCAACACAGATCAGAGAATCAACAGTTAAGACACAAAAAAGAACAAAGAACACACATTTCAAAAGGGACAGTGCAGTTTAATAAAACCCATGATTAAACACTCCTCATTCTTCACTTTCTCTCCTTGCAAACATCTCTATTGAACACAAATACATTCATGGACATTGGTCAAGTATTTATCGTGTTAGACATGTTTTTTCTCTGATCTGTGTTGGTGATTTCAAAGGTTTTGATAAGTCCTCTGAGATATCTACTGTTGTTAATTCAGGATATACAAGAAAAGATTGAATTGAACATACACAAAAACAACCTGGATACTTGCTTTTCTGCTCAAAACAAGGTAAATTCCAAAGTTCTACATCGTTCATTTTCATTGGGGACAATTTGACGCTGGCCTTGAGCTCTCGGCTTAACCTCAATTTTCACAAATGTTAAACACTTTCTACTTTTGGACCTCTTACTTCCCAGCTTAGTGCACTAAATCAGAGCTTTTTTAAACTCAGAATGAATTATACCTTCTGTCCGAACATACCTTTAGGAGGCCGTGAACCGGTTCATTATTGCACTGTACGGGTCTGTGTCAGCGCCAAATGGGAAATTATTCTTTCATTTAAAACATTAAAACACTGCCGTATTTCAAATCACATTGACAAAGACAAATCCGGACCGGCATTATTAGATCTGAGCCACTCTCACTTTATTGCATCTAACGTGTAATCTTGCACAAAACATGATGCAATATTGTGTGTTTTCCCACAAAATTCTAACTCCTCTTCTTTGTCTGCGAGTGCACTGAAGCAGCTCGAGTCAATGACCCAGAAAGAAGACATCATGTGTTTACATTTGGAGCTAATTATGCAAACATGTTTTATTTATTTTTCCATCTACAAACTAGCTCAGAAAATACCAGCATTTGACCTTTGTGAAAACGATAAGTTCCAGCACAGGACATTTTTGTTAACATTTCCATCAGGGAAAAATGTCTTATGCCCCTGAGAATTGTGACTGCTGTACCGCGGCGTTCCTTAAAAGGCTAAAGTTAGTCATTCTTAGACAGTTATGATAGATCCACGTTTGTCACTAACTCACCGTCCGAGCTTTGGTGCTCATTATGCTAAGGATAGAGATGTTATACTGCTTTTCTCTGCCTGTGTTAGAGATTTTTATTTTCATTTATTTATTATAGTTATTGTTTTTTCTTGTGTGTTCCGTTTTCCAGCAAATTAAGAAAGGTATATACAACTGACCTCATATAAAGACGGAAGAATCAACACACAAAAATACGACAGGCGTTTGAAGTGATGTATCCTGCTTGATATGTATATGTTGTGTGTGCGTGTATGTGTATATATATATATGTATGTGTGTATGTATATGTATATGTTGTGTGTGTATATGTATATGTATGTGTACATGTATGTGTATATGTTGTGTGTGTATGTATATGTCAATGTATATGTTGTGTGTGTGTGTATGTGTATATATATATATATGTATGTGTGTATGTATGTGTATATGTTGTGTGTGTATGTGTATATGTACATGTTGTGTGTGTATGTGTGTATGTATATGTGTGTGTAAGCATCAAACTGAAATGTCCCCATTGCGGGACCAATAAAGGACCTTCTGTCATGGTGTGGATTATAATTTTGTATTTTGGTTTTATTTTGACATTATTTCTCTGGTTTCATTTCAGTTTCACTCCATGTCCTGTTCCCCAGTGTTGATTGTCTGCCCCGCCCTGATGTGTCTGTGTGTGTCTGTATGTACCTGTGTCTGTGTGTACCTGTGTCTGTGTGTGTCTATATGTACCTGTGTCTGTATGTGTCTGTGTCTGTGTGTGTCTATATGTACCTGTGTCTGTGTGTACCTGTGTCTGTATGTGTCTATATGTACCTGTGTCTGTGTGTGTCTATATGTACCTGTGTCTGTATGTACCTGTGTCTGTATGTACCTGTGTCTGTGTGTGTATGTACCTGTGTCTGTATGTGTCTATATGTACCTGTGTCTGTATGTACCTGTGTCTGTATGTACCTGTGTCTGTGTGTGTCTGTATGTACCTGTGTCTGTATGTACCTGTGTCTGTATGTGTCTATATGTACCTGTGTACCTGTGTCTGTATGTACCTGTGTCTGTGTGTGTCTGTATGTACCTGTGTCTGAATGTACCTGTGTCTGAATGTACCTGTGTCTGTGTGTGTCTATATGTACCTGTGTACCTGTGTCTGTATGTACCTGTGTCTGTGTGTGTCTCTATGTACCTGTGTCTGTGTGTGTCTGTATGTACCTGTGTACCTGTGTCTGTATGTACCTGTGTACCTGTGTCTGTATGTACCTGTGTGTGTCTATATGTACCTGTGTGTGTCTATATGTACCTGTGTCTGTGTGTGTCTATATGTACCTGTGTCTGTGTGTGTCTATATGTACCTGTGTCTGTGTGTCTGTATGTACCTGTGTACCTGTGTCTGAATGTACCTGTGTCTGTGTGTGTCTGTATGTACCTGTGTCTGAATGTACCTGTGTCTGAATGTACCTGTGTCTGTGTGTGTCTACATGTACCTGTGTACCTGTGTCTGTATGTACCTGTGTACCTGTGTCTATATGTACCTGTGTCTGTGTGTGTGTGTCTGTATGTATCTGTGTACCTGTGTCTGAATGTACCTCTGTCTGTATGTACCTGTGTACCTGTGTCTGAATGTACCTGTGTACCTGTGTCTGAATGTACCTGTGTCTGAATGTACCTGTGCTCCTCTCCCCTTGTTGCTGGTTCATTGTTTTGGTGAAATCCTGTATTGTCTTTGTTCCTGGTTCCGTTTTTGGATTTTAAGTTTTGTTTTCCTCTGGACTTTTATTTTATTAAATCATTATTTTGGCGTTCCTGCTTCCCACCTCATGACACATTCTTCTTCTTCTTCTTAATAAGGCAACTTTTTTTAAACTACAAAAACTAGCATACCATATGTTCATTTTAACTCCACCTAGGACGGTCCCAAGCCCGGCTGAAAAGAGGGTAGTGTTGGGTGCTACCCCGCCCTGTTAACAGCAGCTACAGAAACACCATAAACAGACACTGTTCGCACATACCATGAAATTTAATTATATATGCTCCTTTACTAAAATATGAGGAGCATAAAGTGCATGACAACAGGTGCTGTCAACAATCTTTGGATCTCTCTCTAAAACAACACGACAAAAAAACTGTTTTCACAGTTCCTACCGCAAAAAATAATAATGTACACACAATAATAATGTACACACAATAATAATGTACACACAATAATAATGTACACACAATAATAATGTACACACAAGGCCATTTATTGAGGCCAATGACTTATAGACAGCATGCCCGTGTAAGTGTTGTGTAAGAGCCTCATCATGTCTGTGTTTGCAGATCTGTGTGAGTCAAAGACAGAGCCTCATCATGTCTGTGTTTGCAGAGCTGTGTGAGTCAAAGACACTGGGCCTCATCATGTCTGTGTTTGTAGATCTGTGTGAGTCAAAGACACTGAGCCTCATCATGTCTGTGTTTGCAGATCTGTGTGAGTCAAAGACACTGAGCCTCATCATGTCTGTGTTTGCAGATCTGTGTGAGTCAAAGACAGAGCCTCATCATGTCTGTGTTTGCAGATCTGTGTGAGTCAAAGACACTGAGCCTCATCATGTCTGTGTTTGCAGATCTGTGTGAGTCAAAGACAGAGCCTCATCATGTCTGTGTTTGCAGATCTGTGTGAGTCAAAGACAGAGCCTCATCATGTCTGTGTTTGCAGATCTGTGTGAGTCAAAGACACTGAGCCTCATCATGTCTGTGTTTGCAGATCTGTGTGAGTCAAAGACAGAGCCTCATCATGTCTGTGTTTGTAGATCTGTGTGAGTCAAAGACACTGAGCCTCATCATGTCTGTGTTTGTAGATCTGTGTGAGTCAAAGACACTGAGCCTCATCATGTCTGTGTTTGTAGAGCTGTGTGAGTCAAAGACAGAGCCTCATCATGTCTGTGTTTGTAGATCTGTGTGAGTCAAAGACACTGAGCCTCATCATGTCTGTGTTTGCAGATCTGTGTGAGTCAAAGACACTGAGCCTCATCATGTCTGTGTTTGCAGATCTGTGTGAGTCAAAGACAGAGCCTCATCATGTCTGTGTTTGCAGATCTGTGTGAGTCAAAGACAGAGCCTCATCATGTCTGTGTTTGCAGATCTGTGTGAGTCAAAGACACTCATCATGTCTGTGTTTGCAGATCTGTGTGAGTCAAAGACACTGAGCCTCATCATGTCTGTGTTTGCAGATCTGTGTGAGTCAAAGACACTGAGCCTCATCATGTCTGTGTTTGTAGATCTGTGTGAGTCAAAGACACTGAGCCTCATCATGTCTGTGTTTGCAGATCTGTGTGAGTCAAAGACAGAGCCTCATCATGTCTGTGTTTGCAGATCTGTGTGAGTCAAAGACACTGAGCCTCATCATGTCTGTGTTTGCAGATCTGTGTGAGTCAAAGACACTGAGCCTCATCATGTCTGTGTTTGCAGATCTGTGTGAGTCAAAGACAGAGCCTCATCATACACATTATTACAGTCATCATATTTATGCTAATGCGCGTGTCTGCAGCATCAGGGCAAACGCTGCAGAACCCCAGACATGTGTTATTGATGGCCTCCTTTTACCCCAGGCCCAGGTGTGGTGCGGGAAATATCCACTGACCTAATTACAGCCACTATCGAGCATGCTTCTGTTGATTTGGGTAAAAGCTATAATTGCTGGTTGTGTTTTTACATTTTTCTTGTGTTTTATGAAAATTGGGAGTGTGGTAGCAGCAAAACACCAGCATCTGTTTCATAGTCACCAAACGAGAAAACGACTTCTTTTTAGCACTTCACGTCCCACAGTCACACTGCACACTTTAGCACTTCACGTCCCACAGTCACACTGCACACTTTAGCACTTCACGTCCCACAGTCCCACAGTCACACTCACAGTCCTGTCGTCTGTGACAGTAGTGCAATTACAACCGCCCTTTTTGCCTAATTTACCATCGCTTGGAACTGCCACTTCCACCACCACGACTTTCCTCTGCTCTTTGTCTACCATCTTTGACTTTGGGTGGCTGAGTGGTTAGCCCTTTCGCTTCTCAGCAACAAGGTCCTGGGTTTGAATCCCGGTTGGAACGGGGCCCTCATCTTCTCCCACGTCGACGACTGCAACTCCCTCTTCTCCGGTCTCGACTCCAAATCCCTCTCCCGCCTCCAACTGGTCCAGACGCAGCAGCCAGACTTGGTTTGAACAGAAGGGAGCACATCACCCCTGTGTTAGCGTCCCTCCACTGGCTCCTTTTGTGTTTTAGAATTGATTTTAAGATTTTACGGATCCCTTTTAAAGCTTGTTTAGGGTCTGGCTATATTTATGAACTTGATAGAACCCTCTCTGTCCGGCCTCCTCGGCTTTGGAACAACATGCCCGACCTGCTCTTTTAAATTAATTCTTAAAACGCACTTTTATCGGACAGCTTTTAACTGTCAGCTTTAAACTTCTCATGTTGTATTTTACTGTCTGCTTTGTCTTTGTTTTGTCCTTCTTCTTGTGTCTTCTCTGTTTGCTTTTTCTTCCTCTTATTATTTTGACTTTGTATTATTATGACTCTTTTATTGTTTTTTTATGCTGACTGTGCAGAGTTTTGCAAACACTGTTTTTAAAGATGTAGTATTATTAATATTATTCCTGAGTGGAGTTTGCATGTTCTCCCCAGGTCTTCGTAGGTTTCCTCTGGGTGCTCCGGTTTCCCTTACCAAAAAAAACATCTACAATAGTAATGAGTGAATGGTGTTGGTCGGGCTTTGATGCGCCGAGGTCGATCAACGGCACTTGCTCGACTGTGGCTCCCAAGTCTCTACCAAACCTTGGATTTTTATCAAATATTCTCAAATCTAAAGTATTCCCTTTTCAGAATCTGTGCGATAGTGACAAGAGCGTTGTTTGTCCGTTGTGACGAGCCGAATACCTGTCCTTATGTCTGTGGCATACGTGAATATATGCACATACTCGAGAGATTTGCTCCACACTCTTCCTTCTCAGATACTCTGAGTGCCCTGGATACTCGAGGGCTCATGGGAGTTCGCCCAACCTGTCCACATGTACTTTGTGGATTTGGAGAAGGCGTTCGACCGTGTTCCCCGGGGTGTCCTTTGGGGGGTCCTCCGTGAGTACGGGGTCCTCTGCTGAGGGCCATCCGATCCCTGTATGACCGGAGCCAGAGCTGCGTGCACATTGCCGGCAGTAAGTCAGACCTGTTCCCGGTGAATGTTGGCCTCTGACAGGGCTGCCCTTTGTCACCGGTTCTGTTCACTGTATTCATGGACAGAATTTCTAGGCGCAGCCAGGGGCGGAGGGGGTCCGGTTCGGGGACCACAGGATTTCATCTCTGCTGTTTGCAGACGATGTTGTCCTGTTGGCTCCAACGAACCAGGACCTGCAGCATGCACTGGGACGGTTTGCAGCCGAGTGCGAAGCGGCTGGGATGAGAATCAGCACCTCCAAATCTGAGGCCATGGTGCTCGACCGGAAAAAGGTGCCTTGCCCTCTTCAGGTGGGTGGAGAGGTCCTTCCTCAAGTGGAGGAGTTCAAGTATCTCGGGGTCTTGTTCACGAGTGAGGGAAGAATGGAGCGTGAGATTGACAGGCGGATCGGTGCAGCGTGCGCAGTGATGCGGTCGCTGCATCGGACCGTTGTGGTGAAGAGGGAGCAGCGTCTGCAGTCAGAGCTGTATCGGACCGTTGTGGTAAAGAGGGAGCTGAGCCGAAAGGCAAAGCTCTCGATTTACCGGTCAATCTTCGTTCCCTCCCTCACCTATGGTCATGAGCTTTGGGTAATGACCGAAAGAACGAGATCGCGGATACAAGCGGTCGAAATGAGCTTCCTCCGCAGAGTGGCTGGGCGCTCCCTTAGAGATAGGGTGAGGAGCTCGGTCACACGGGAGGAGCTCGGAGTAGAGCCGCTGCTTCTCCACGTCGAGAGGAACCAGTTGAGGTGGCTCGGGCATCTGTTCAGGATGCCTCCTAGACGCCTCCCTGGGGAGGTGTTCCGGGCACGTCCCACCGGGAGGAGGCCCCGGGGAAGACCCAGGACACGCTGGAGAGACTATGTCTCTCAGCTGGCCTGGGAACGCCTTGGAGTCCCCCCGGACGAGCTGGAGGAAGTGTGTGTGGATAGGGAAGTCTGGGCGTCTCTGCTTAGACTGCTACCCCGCGACCCGGCAACGGATGAAGCGGAAGAAAATGGATGGATGGACGGATCTTCCTTCTCAGAACATGCTTTGTGCAGCGTGGAGAATGCTTACCTTGAGCTGTTTCTCACTCTCTCGGCTGATGCTTTCTTTTGAATCTCACTTGAGCGGCCTTCGGAGCACTTTCAAAACATTGGGGACATTATAAAGACAAGTCAGTAAATACTCCTGAGCTGAAACCAGCGTGTCATCCAGTGTGATTATGAATGCAGCTATTCAAGTCATCTCCGGATGCAGCTTTCAAAAAAGGACTACAGATTCATCCATCCATCCATTTTCTAGCCTTTAATTCATTTCTGGGTCAGGGGGGTGGCAATCAGAGATGCTTGAGGAAAGTGATATGAAATTATACTATGTCAACTTGCACCAACAATAACACTGTCAGTGTGCCCCAGGGCAGCTGTGGCTACTGTGGCAGTTTATCACTACCGTATTTGGAGTGGATGAATAATGTGTCCAAGAAAGCACAATATAATATCAATTGAATATTATTATTATTATCATGACTATTATCACAAGATAACTTATTTTCTCCATATGGATCTTGGCCTAAACTTACTGAGCGTCAAACAGTTTCTTAATTTCAAACAATGGTGAAAACATTTGTATGTCTTGCTGCTTCTTTCACACTTGAATGTGGGCTGATTTTATTCCTGTTTTCCAGCCTTGGGCGTCCTAGCAGCAATGTTTCAGTGATGAAGACATGTTAATAAGATGGAAATCATGGGTTTATTGTCAGTGAAGAGCTTCTCCTCTGAGTCATCATCAGTCTCCTGATGTGGGCCTGCTTTTGCCAGGAGGTCACTCTGCCTTATGGAGGAGAAAGACTAATGAAGTCAGAGATTTATGCACACTTTATTATTGTATTACAAGTTATTGAACAATCATAGCCAAACTTTCATCATCAAAGTTATTTATTGACAAAAACAGAACAAAGGATTTTGGAGAAACACTACAAATGAATATTTCCAACGCATTTGGATCAGGATAATGGTGTTATCAGTCAAAAACATTGATCTTCTTAAGCACCAAACCCCGGTGTAGCCCGAAGCCATTTAGCTTCATGAGGTTAGCATGTGCTTGAAACATTCTCTTCAGATGTGAGCTCTTTCTAGTGTGAAAGAAACAATATGCAGGTCCAGCGAGCTTCCCAAATGCTCCTGTACAGTTCTTTCTTACATCACCGTTGGAAATAGGCTTCAAATGTTCAAGTCAAAGTAAAAACATAAGAAATGAAAAACTATCCCAACTGCAGACAGATAAAAGGCGTTCAAAGGATTACACCACGGCGAGTCTATCAGGACCACATTCTACTACTTTAATACAAACGTGATATTAATGGTTTTAATAAGAAAACATACAGAATCAGTGATTCTCGTTCTCTGCGTCTTACACCAAGGACGTGACGAAGCAGGCTTATCTATCTACTCACCTGGGATGTCCATCTATATGAATGTATATTTCAAATGTAAAACGTACAATAAAATACTGTAAAATATTATGATAATCTTGATTTATCCATTTATTGTTTTCCAGCAAAGTTAATTTTCTTTCATAATGTTGATAATCGTGATTAATCGTAAAATCGCAATATTATCTGTCACAATAATTGTGACTGAAAATGTTGAAATTGTGGCAACCCTATTACTGAGAAGATTACCGAGACTGCTTTCCTCTCAGCCTTTGTGTTGCTTGATACAAATATATTGTATAGTGTATATTTAGTATATATATAATATACACCTCCATCCCAAAACAGTGTGTTTGTAAAAGTTGTTGCCTAAACCATTTTGTTACGTTATCGACCAGAAGCTATAGCCCTGTCACATTCTGTGTGTGTGTGTGTGTGTGTGTGTGTGTGTGTGTGTGTGTGTGTGTGTGTGTGTGTGTGTGTGTGTGTGTGTGTGTGTGTGTGTGTGTGTGTGTGTGTGTGTGTGTGTGTGTGTGTGTGTGTGTTGCTGGCGGACTTGCCTGGGGCTTGGCAAGGTCTCTGCTTTTGTCTCATAGAAGTCGGGGCGATTGATTGACGCTGGAGGTGTCTCTGGCTGGAGATTGGCTCGCTGCGCTTGCATTATCTTGGGTGGCAGTGTCTTCATACTGTAGCAGCCGGAACAATGGGGCTGAGGGACGATGTGGCTAAATTGTTCTGAATGACTTTCATAAGCAGCAGGTACCGGGCCACGAGGAAGAAAAGCAGGTAATAAACTTTGGAGGATGTAGGGGACAATGGGACCTGATCCAAGACCTCAGTGAACTTTAGTCCCAGGTCACAAACCTATGACCCTCCCCCTTTGTTCCTCCTGATGTTATTCCACACTTATGTTTCTATAGATAAGAACATTTATGAAAGCCTTGACATTGATCATATGAAAGGGCTGTTGCATCACAGCGTTCTGTGAATAAAAGGAAAAAAGAAATGTCTTT